CGCTGCCTACCCCTTGGCTTTTTCCCCTCCTCTCCCCTTCCCTTCCCCTCTCCTCTCCTCTCCTTTCCTTCTTTCTATCTTTCTCCTCATTTTGGACTAGCTTCCTCAAATCAGAAAAAAACATTATACCTTTGACTTTCAGGGTCTAGCTTTTTTCCCCCCTACTTTCAGGACAGACAAGTTTTGATTCTCAATTTCAAACTAAAAATCTGAACCTGTCCCCAAGCCCCACCCCTTTTTTAAACGGCTTCATTAGTTTTAATTTAATTTTCATTTTGTTCTAATTAGTTATATATGACAGTAGAATACATTTTGACACATTTTACACAAATGGAGAACAACTTCTCCTTCCTCTGGCTGAACATGGTGCAAAGTTATACTTGTAGTGTAATCATACATGTATATCACAAAATAAATCCATGCCTTCTTCCATTTGACATTTTTCAACTATTGATTTTAGATTCCTTTAAATGAAAGTGTCCCAAAGTAATATTTTGGTGTTTGCCAATGATGTTTTATGAATTTGTTGTTAAAAATGGTCAATTATTCCAAGAAATTTGGGTATAAGTAAATGAAATCTTGTTATGATGTTATTTTAGTAAACAGGAATAATAATTGAGCAATTAATTATCTCCTTAATATTTACAATTTATAAATGAGTCATGCATTATATGACATTCCAGTCTTCTGTTAATACATGTATGACATGCCAAATTTAACCTATTATACTTCAAGCCATGCAAAATTATGCACATGCAATTATTTATAAAAAGCAACTCTGTTACTGGTTTATGTATATTCTATAGTATATTTTCTACAATTCATTTAGAATGTTATCCTTCCACTTACAAAAAATGTTAACTTTAAAATAGCCCTAAGTCCTTCAGGAGGTATTCCTGAAGAAATTTGTCTCCTGGGAGATGACAGATCCATGTGTCATTGCCCTGAAGACCTATTGGACAGAACATGGAGATAAGACACAGAAACTGGTGATATTTTCCTGGTTGTAGGCTCAGGTTTATGTGTGTGCTTGTGTTTTAGTTTCTAACAACAACAACGACAATAACAACAAAATTAAAAGGTAAAAAGAGATTCAAGTAACAAAAACCTTACAGAATAAGGATATAAGAAAAACATAGTTTTGTACAGTTGTATGATGTATTTGTCTTTTAGACCAAGTGTTACTGTTAAAGAGTAAAAGTTAAAAAAAGTTACAAACTCTATCAAGTAAGAACAAGGGGCAAGGTATAGTTCAATAGTATAGCACTTGCCTATTTTATACATATGAATCATTTTTTATCCTTTATACTGCATTTTTTTTGTAGCTTTTCTGCATTTGGGCACACAAATACTTACTATTTTGTTACTGTTGCCTCAACTATTCAGTATAGTAATATGTTCTTCATGTTTGTAAGGAGTAATAGGATATACCATACAGCCTGGGTGTATAGTAACCAATGCCATCTAAGTTTATGTAAATATGTTTTATGATGCATGCACAATACTAAAATTGCTTAATGATGCATTCTCAGAATGTGTTCCCATCATTGAGTAACACATGACTCTGTGTGTTTTTGTATAAATTCATATCTGTATCTGTATCGCTGTTTAAAAATGCTCAACAGCCATTCTATTCATCCTTTGGGCACATCTGCAAGCTGGAATTGGTAGGTATTACAAAAAATGAATGCCTTTTCAGTACAGTGGTGTAAGTACAAAAGGAATTCATAAGACATTTTTATGTATTCTATTCATTTCATTAAAGTATTTGTCACATCATTTGTTACATCATTAACTCTCTCCCAATTCTCAATTTACTAATATGCATTTACTGTGAGCTTGAGTTGGTATTCACCATCGGATTCATGCCAATAAGCTAATGGGCAATTTATCTTTTATATGTAAAACTGGGCTAAGAACTGGTGTATTGGGAAGATATATTTTTGAAGGGATCTTTTCTGCACTGGTATGCTAATAATTCGTTGTAGTTCATGCATTGTTGCTATTATTTTATCATTCTTTGAGGATTGTAAAACTCATCAAACCATAGTTTCTAGTCTTTAGTAAAGTCATCAAAAGCATAAACACAATGTAGCTTTCATTTCTCCTAACAAGTTTCCAACTAAGAAATTATAATGGTGATATTCTGGTTTTTGGTGTTATTTCCTGTAATCTCCGTTCCCCTTATTTTTCACATTTACTCATTAATATTAATATGTACTAATTTGTTTCTTTGATTGCTAATACTTAGTTCTCTTGTTTCTTTTCCCAGGTTAACTGCCAGCTAAATATTGATTGCCTAAATGGGATACCTATACTTAATGGTATATGGGATAATTTGAGAAATACCAGATAATTTTAAAGTTTAGTTCCTTATAAATAACCTAAATTGTATTAGAAAAATAGTATAAATGCATTTTGAATATATTAATTAAGGACAAATTTATTTTAGTAAAAACTTAGTTAATTTATTTGGTATTATAATTTGTATCAGGAAGAAAAGCTAAAAATTGTGGGATCTTGGCCCTCCGATTATCACTACTTCTTGGCTTTCTATTACTATGCCATGGCTATTTGAATAATGCTTCTTATATAGTTTAAAATATTCACAATTGTGTGATGAAAGGAATGCATATCAGTGTGTGTGTGTGTGTGTGTGTGTGTGTGTGTGTGTGTAATTCTGAGTCCACTCTACAGACAATGGTGTTTGGGGGCAGATTTTTTTTTTCCTCTAGGCTAGGAAAGCTAGTGTTCAAATGAATACATTTCAAAGATGATTACTACATGTAATCCAGTTACCTTTAAGTCTAATTACCAAATGCTTTTTTAATTCACACAATGTTAAGTAAAAAAAATGGAATTGATTAGTGAAATGGCTAAATATTTTAGAGCCATCCTTTGATTATTTGTGACCCCAGTGGAGTGAGCCTTTGGCCATAGGGTTGATACTTAAATACTTCTCCCTTTGTTCAGGAAGTTCTTATTCCTGTGATTCTGAGTCCGGTGGCTGGAATTTGGTCAGCATTGCCATGTGAAACTTTCCAGCAAGTTATTCTGAGACTGCCAAAGAAAAAACAGCAACAGAATTGACATAACATATATCCGCATAATAGCATAGATGGCCTGCAGCTTGTTTTAGTCATACTCTGATAGTGAAGTAGTCGGGGAAGAAGGCAATTCACATGTATTTCCATTTCTAGCTATGGATACCTACTAATTCAAAGATAATGATTTCTGTGATCAGATTTCAGTTTCATTTTCCATATCTTTAAGTTCTATTCTTGTTAATTTTGTCAGATGATTGCACATTTTCTTTTATTGCACTATGTCTTTGAATGTTCATGATTTATAGTAAACACATAAAATATCACTAGGAACAAAATATTACCTTAGAAAAGCAAAACATGTTTTTCAAAAGTTCTTATGTATAATTATAACATATGCTATAATATGCCCCTTTTTATTAGATAAGCTATGAAGAACACACTGCTTACCTTTAGGACAAAGGGATCAATATTTTCTGTGAAAAGTTGAGGAAGTATTGTTTATTAACTATATTTTACAAAGCACTACATGTAGTAAATTATAAATGAAGAATTTGTTTTATCATCACTACTATGACAGATTAATAAATGCAGACTTTTCAAGCAATTTGAATATAATACCTATCTCATTTGGGGTTTAAACTTGAAAAAAATTCCTTAGTGATTTTTCAAAATAAGACACTCAAAAACATTATACATTTATGTAAATTAAAAATTGAATTTTTATTTCTACTATTTATTTGGAAATAATTGCTAATTGTAAGGTATCTCTTCTTTCTCCCTCCAAAATCTTTTTTAAAGAGAGAGAGAGAGAGAGAATTTTTTTAATATTTATTTTTCAGTTTTCAGTGGATACAACATCTTTATTTTATTTTATGTGGTGCTGAGGATAGAACCCAGCTCCCTGCGCATGCCAGGCGAGCACATTACCACTTGAGCCACATCCCCAGACCCTCCCTCCAAAATATTAAAATTTATTTTCATGATCATATAGTTATTCAGTATTCTTGATTCAATATTCTTTATTCTTCAACAGAGAATCTTTTAAAATTAATTTAATTTGTTAGAAATTTTAAAGCTATGTTATTAATATAGTTGTTAGTTTAAATTGTTCTATGGTAAATATATTTGCTTTTATTTTCTGTCCAATGAGATTATTTATACATATTATTTTCTTGAACATTTATTTATTTATTTATTTATTTATTTATTTATTTTTAGTTTGTTAGAGAAAATGTTGGAAAATTTTCTATCACCGTAGCTGGCTGCAGCAAATAATTCACTGAAACACAGCTTTATTCTTTGCTCTTCAGTGGACGCAAATAAATGTAAAATTGGTCTTTGCCTTTAAGAAACAAAGGCAGGGAAATTTTATATTAATAATAGTAATAACAGTTGAACTCACAGAAATGGATTCTGCATAAAATCATTTATGCCCATGATCAGGGGTTACAAATAAATTGTATAAAATCACATAATATCAATGAATAAAAATTCTATAGTAATAAAAATTCATATAGTCTGTTAAAAAACCCACATATTTGCTGAATATATATGTTCCATATTATAGGTGTTTAAGATACTTCAGTGAAGAAACAGACAAAATAGTTCTGTTTGAACATTTGCCTAAAAATTACTATAATTTTCATATAGAAATATAGTGGTATTGATCATAGAAATATATAAAAATTCCGGTTATTTATATAAGGCTTTTAATGCAATATGTTCCACATGATACAACTAATTTAAGGAAAGACATTGTTGTATTGTAATTGGCTGATTCTTCAGCAGAAATTGAAGAATCATACAAATGGAAACCATTCAAATTTTGTTCTTGAGAGTAAGTGAAGAAAGCAAATTTATGAAACAAAACAAACCTCCAAAGGCAAATTTTCTAAGTCTAAATTACTCATGAGTACCCACGTTTTTGATATTTTATATTAAAGATACCATAACTGTTTTTCACATTTATATGACTACCAGTCCTCTTACAAGTATTTTAACAAGTCATTCAGATTTTATTTGCTTCTTGATTGCTGGTTTTTTTCACTTTTTAGCAAACTTTTGTAAAATGTTTTTAGATATAGCTAACAATATAAATCATTACTAAAAATAAAACACATTATATATTCCAATATATGGACTGAGAAGGAGTTTGTGGCTTGGAATATGTTGCTGAAAGTTTTTACACTTTAAAAATGGCACTTGCTTGTAAAGAAAGGGATGAAACTGGAGAACATCATACTAATTGAAATGGCCAGACTTAGAAAGTCAGGGTCCAGTGTTTTCTCTCTCATGCAGTAGCAAAAATGGGTGGTGGGGCATATTCCATGAAAATAGAAGGAACATCAGTGAAGTAGAGGAAGGAAATAGTTGGGGAGGGAGAAGGCACAGGAAAAGAATAGAACTGCTGAATAAAATTGACCAAATTCTGCATGTACACACATGAATATACCTCAGTGAATTCCACCCTTATTTATAGTTATAAAGCACCAGTTTTTTTAAAAAGTAAATAAATGGAAGACCACTAGAGCAGAGGAAGGGAAATGAGGTGGTGTGGGGGAATGTGGGGGGGGGGGAGGTTGGGTAATACTAGGGACTGAAATGGAGCAAATTGTATTCCATGCATGTATGGCTATGTCAAAATGAACTCCACTATTATGCATAACTGCAATGCACTGGTAAAAACATTTTTAAAAACTTAGGTATTTTTTTTTCTAAGAAATGTTTGATATTCCAATGTAAAGAGATGACATGGTTGCTCTTTTAAAACAAATGCCTAACACAACATGGCTTCCTTCAGGTAGTTTTAAAAGAGAATGTGTTTCCTTTTTCTGCTTGCAAAACTGCTTCCTTGCAGTACTTGGTCCATTACCTCCCTTTATCTCCATCCTTAGAGTTAACAGTGTATTATGGTTACCTTAGTCTCACTTTGGTGCCTTCATCTGTCAGGTCTCTCCTCTTCCCTCTCATAAGAACGCTTATGATTATAGTAAGGGCATACCAGGATAATCTGTTCAGAGATTTATTTTAATCACCTGTTCCAAGTCCCTGTTACCACATAAAGGAAAGATTTATGGCTTCTGACCTGAATATTTTTAGGGACCATTATTCAGTATGTGCTTTGTCCATCTGGCTATTCTCTGACATTCTATACACAAAACAGTCTTTTCGTTAGCACATCAAAAAAGCCATAGTTTTCAAATTTAAAGCCATTGAATCTTCAAATTTCATTTTAATTATTATATTAAATTTCTTTTGCTTTTCCTGGATATTTATTTCTAAATTAACTACCACTACCTATCTACCTTGCTGTTATATTTAGCATTAATCAATCATGGCATCTATATGATTAGCATGTGTCTCTGACCATACTCATTCTTACTTCATGGCAGCCAGGGATGCTTTTCTAAAAATCAAATATGGCCAATGTGATTCTGCAACCTGTATAATCAGAAAAATGAGAAATTATACCCCATTTGATTCAAATGTATGATATGTCAAGATCATTGTACTGTCATGTATAACTAATAAAAAAATTAAAATCAAATATAGCTATGCAGTTCAGCTTCTATAGAGACTCTTCTTACTTTAATCATGCATGGAACTAATTCTAAAGTCTATTTTTTTCTAACAAACTGTTCATTCTAGTCTAGTCTGAAATCTAATCCCTATTTTCTATTTTACCACTCAGCTTCATACCATTTAGTAAACCATAGGCTCCAACTACGCTAAAAATTACCACTGTTTCATACCTTGTACTGGAGAATTAATTCTAGTTTTATGTTTGAGGAGTCATTGTTTATCCTTCAAGGATGCAGAGATATTTTCATGATAATTTTAGTTTTTATGCAATAAAGAAGAAATGGTGGTACCCTTGGTTCATATTTCTTTTCTGGTTAAGTCATGTGGCCTTAACTTAAAAATTACCACTCTATCTCCTCAACATAATTTGTATATCTGGGAAGTCCTGCTTTGAGCTCATCTTTAGACTCTCAGAGTGTAGACCTTGCAGGAAGAAGGCACATCACAAATGTGATTATGGCAATTAAATGAATGAGGCCACCAGAAGGAAGTGGGGCCATTTAATGCCTCACTTTGAAATAATACAGCTCAGGAGCTTTCCCTCCCTGAGATTTCTACCATATTCTACATCAGGTTACTCTTCAAAGTAATTGTTGAACATGAAATTAACTTCTATTTATGATTTTTTTAAACAAATACAAATTTTACTCTTTATTCCTTACAGAGACAATAAAATACATATAGATATATAAATGTATATATATATATCTATATGTGAAACATACACTTGACCCAAAGTTTACTTTAATAGAATTTTTAAAATTACTAAATGAAACATTTGTATATAAATTTCATGCTGCCTTTCCAAGTATCCTGGGCCTTGAAAATTTAAATTGCATACTATAATATAAATAAAGAAACTAAAGGATGAAAAATTATTATTTCAAAATACTTATACTAATAAAATTGATTATACTTTTAACATTTATTTACCTTGGTAGTATCATTAGCCTATTAAAGAAAAAAAAAACATGTTTGCAAATTTCTCTGATTTTAAAATCTTTGAGTCCTCATTCAAAGATGTCTTTCTCAAATAAATCTCTCTTTTTGAATTAGTATTATCACAACGAGAGAGGGTCTGATTATTCTTCATAGAATCTCAAAGCAGTATTAATTTTCCAGAAAATAAAATAAAAATCACATTACCAAAGCTACTTAATTTGGTTTCCCAATTCTTCTGGCCAAATGTTGAGTTGTTTAGTCAGGGTTTTGTCTTTATTGTTACAGTGCAGCTGTGGTGTGCTGTTCAGATCCCACTACCACTCCTCTCAGTCTATCTAAGTCCCAACTGTGGGGATAGTAGGCAGCCAAATAAATCATAGCTGAGTCCTTTCCTAGTATTTGTCTTTACCTGAAGGGAGCTTCCTTACGCAGTTTATGCTATATCTCCAACCTCTGGCCCACATCCAATTATTGCTTTATGAAGGGATACAAAGACCAAGCCCTTTTGGCCTCCATTCAAGGCATGTCTGATGAGGTACCCCAGCCCAAGCACCATCTGTGGAATCGCCTAAAGTCTCTTAACAACCATGCTTCAGTTTAAATCATCTCTCTGCACATTTCTTTTCCCTTTACTCCCTCACAGACACGGTTCTGAGAGTATTTCACAATAAACTCCTCTTGAAAAAAAAATCTCATACTTTATAAAGTTTTTTTGGGAATTATCATAAAAAAATTATCACCAGTAGTATCCTCAGAAGTAGACAGTAAAATGATGTTTGGAATCTGCTTGTCTGCTAGTCATCTGTGTAAGAAAACTCTCCCTGTAGTTGTAGGTAGAATAAGCATGGTCCAGAAAATGGGGCAGTGGTTTAACTATTAAAACATAACAACACCTGGGAATGTTACACCATTTCATACTGAAGATGGAGAGTAGACTGTAAAATGTAATATGGGAGGTATTAAAACAACTAAAGATATATTTCCATAGCTGGAGAATTTTAAAAACTGAGGAGCAGGCCAAGGATTTGCCTATAAGCAGAACTGAAATATTTTAGAACCCTCTAGTGGTTAACCTCCCCTATTGTTTGAAGACGACACAGAACTTCTGACTTGAAAGATAGTATGCAACTTCCCTGCTCTAGAATTTAACACCACCTAAGTAGGGGCTTCACGATTATGACAAGATTTTAAGCTCAAGTCTTCTTTCACACAGAGGTCACTGAACTGTCTTGTATTTAAAGAGGCAGTAAAAGGTTTAAACAACTCTTCCAAAGATCTCATAGAATCTTGAATTGGCATTGCTCAGTTGGTGGCCATTTCTGTTATCTTTAACCTCCGAGTCCTCTAGTAGGTAAGATATCTATACATTGTGCAATAATTATGTCACATATAATTTATCTTTAGCTTTAGTAAAGCTAGACAATTGTATAAGAATGCAGTACCTGAGAGAACAGGACCAGCGGCCCGCCAGCGTGGTAGACACATCGCCCCGGTTGGGGGAGGGGCAGAGATGCCGCCCGCGTCTGCAAGGTAGGCGGACCTGTGACCGACTGGCAGAACAGGCCCAGCGGCCCGCGGAGGGCCAGAGCCTCTGCCCTGCAAGGTAGGCGGACCTGCTACCTACCGGCAGACCAGGCCCAGCGGCCTGCCAGCATGGTAGGCATATTGCCCCAATTGGAGGAGGGGCAGAGCCACCGCCCGCGGCTGTGAGGGAGACTTTGCAACTAAACAAGAGCAATATAAATATATAGGGGGAAAATTCAATAACGCAACAGTTTCACCAAGCAGAAAGAAACACGAGCAGTATGAAAAGACAAGGAAAGAAAGGATCACAAGCAATGCACGTCAACTCAACGTTAGAAGAGGTAATATCTGCAGCAGATGGAATGTCAGATAAAAAATTCAGGATATACATGCTTCAGATGATCTGGAGTATCAAGGAAGACATTAGACAGCAAAATCAGACAATGAAAGATCACTTCAACAATGAATTACATAAACAAATCCAGGAAGCAAAAGATCAACTATACAGGGAGATAGAGGTTATAAAAAACAAACAGAAATCCTAGAAATGCAGGAAGCAATAAACCAACTTAAAAACTCAATTGAGAATACTACCAGCAGAGTAGAACACTTAGAAGATAGAACATCAGACAATGAAGACAAAGTATTTCAACTTGAAAAGAACATAGACAGCTCAGCAAGACTGTTAAGAAACCATGAGCAGAACATCCAAGAAATATGGGATAACATAAAGAGACCAAACTTAAGAGTCATTGGGATACAGGAAGGTATAGAGGTCCAAACCAAAGGACTGAGCAATCTGTTCAATTAAATAATATGAGAAAACTTCCCAGACTTGAAGAATGAGACAGAATCCCAAATCCTAGAAGCCTACAGGACGCCGAATGTGCAAAATCATAAGAGATCCACACCTAGACACATTATA